CCCTACCCAGACCCCCGGGAGGATCTAGAAAGTAGATCGCCTAATTTGGGACCCTATACTACTAAGGGTGTTTTACATATCGGGACCCCGATTAATTAAGGGATCTACTTTTCGGATCCTCCCGGGTGTCTGGGTAAAAGCTCCAAAAGGAATTTAATTTGTCATAACAAGGAAGACCATATCATTTACTATCGATCCCCATTATGGCAGCTTAAGTTAGATTCCTTAGCAAGAACCCAGAAGAATAGAGCCCGAACCCCTACAAGCTCGAATCTCGGAGCCCTCACCACTACAAGCCCCATATACACCTAAACCCGATTGGTCTGGAATCCTAAATCCTATCCCCTCAATTCGGACACCATGAGTTGTGGAACTGAAGCTGCCTTGGACGACACATGAGGGAAATCGAGGCAGCTTAAGCCCTGACCCTAAACACACTTCCCTTAATCCAAGCCTCTGGCAGGTGGATGGTTTGGATTTCCTCCAGTTTTATCAGGCGCCGGTTGGTTCATGAAAGCCGAGGTATTATCATTCTGAAGAGCCTTTGCCGTTATCGGTTAAACAAAAGAGTCATCCAGAGTCCTCGTGTATCTAGTTCCAGCCATGAGCCATTTTGATTGCCACGGGGGCTTGCAGTTGGTGGTTTGGGTACAATCTTGCCAATCATCGGTGCCTCATACATTGCTTGTACTCTAAACCTTAGAAGCTGCCCCCACCCTGTAATAGTGGTATAATAGGAATATAATTGGGCCCTAATATAATATTAATATAAACCTTATGGTCACTATTACAGGGTGGGGGCAGCTTCTAATCTAAACCCGAGATCCTGGGAACTCCAAACCTCCAACGTCAACCCTGAATCCGCCTTGCCATGTGGGCATCAGACTGACGGTAATGGAAGCAACTCAGTAGCATTCAACAGCAGAAACACTCGTGATACCCATGGTACCAGAGGAACAATATGAACCAGCATAGCCAGTAGTATCGTGAGAAAAGCAGCAACAGGCACACAAGAACAGCACGCAACAGTATGTACAAGACTCATCACAAGAATCCCCGTAGTATGCTAGTATTCTTAGCATCGCTTAACACTATGTGTAATGTACTGCCAACACGTTTTGGCTGCAAGTTTCAGCACCTGAAGCCCCCTACACCGTTGGCACTTTGTCCTCTACCAGTATAGTTTGTCCAGCAATCCTACTCTTCTAAGACATACACCCCAAACCCTATAAGCCCTCTCGCTCGGATTGTCTGCTGACGGCTTGCATAAACCCTCTAAGCCCTATAAACCCTCAGACCCTACACCTGGGAGACCCTAAATTGATGATATAGATCCTGCATCAGCCATAATAAGGAATATACCATGATTCCCACAGTTTAGGGTCCTTAAGGTAATGCAGGATTTATATCATCAACCGTTCGGCCTGTATGCATGTGTCTCGCAAGCAGGTCCGTTTCGCCGAGCTTTGCACCGCCGGAAGCCTTGTGGTCAGGGTTGTAGGCGGAGCTTAGGGTTTAGGGGTTTACGGGTTTAGGGAGTTGGGGTTTAGGGTCTAAGTTTAGTGGTTTACGGGTTTAGCCAGTGGAGGGGTAAGGGCTGAGCTTACTTGGAGGTTCAGGGGTAGTTATAAGTAGGGTTATAAGTCCGCTTAATATGGGTTATAAGTATAGTTACCCAACTTAGGGAATTGGGGTTTAGGGTTAGGAGTTTACGGGTTTATGGAGTAGGTTTTGGGGTTTATGGGTTTAGGGAGTTGGGGTTTAGGGTTTACGGGTTTTGGGAGTTGGGGTTTAGGGGTTTACGGGTTTAGAGAGTAGGGGGTTTAGGGGTTTAGGGCGGAAGGACCCCATAAGTAGGTGCTTGGCTTTAGGATGGTGGTTATTTAGGTTACAGTGTTGGAGACTATATGATATTGGGGTATCCCTAAACCCCCAACCCTAACCCCCAAACCCCTAACCCCCCAAACCCTCAACTCTAAACCCTAAACCCAAAGCCGAAACCCAAAGCCCAGAGATTCAGGGAGAACTTGCACAGTTGGATCTAGACTCTTGGCTTCCTCAGTTTCTACCAGAGTCGACCGGTTTAGGGCTTAGGGGCTTAGGGTTTAGGGTTTAGGCCTCTAAGTTTGAGGTTTAGGGCTCTACACCCTAATGGACCTCAACCGAAAACCCTGAGATCTAAACCGTGTTACTACAACACCTGCTCCGCGCTACGGTTGATGATACAAAGCCTGCATTACCCATAATAAGGAATATACCATAACTCCCATAGTTTAGGGTCCTTAAGGTAATGCAGGATTTATATCATCAACCGTAGGGGGCTGCATCAGCTTCGCCTGGTTCGATGTGTATGCTGAAATGCATCCAACCCTGTCAGACATCAAGGTGTCCATATGGGTAGTTGTCAAAATTATGGCACTTTTTTGGGTACCCTAAATATTAGGTGCCGTAGTACAATAGGGACCCCAAAAGGGACCCTAATTTTGACAACCACCCATATTACTTCCTACATGAAGCAGCCAGTGGAGCCACTTCGGGTTACGTGTTACGGCTTTCGGGTTTTCGGGCGTGTCGGATTGGGATCCTAAACTCGAGACGGGAGACCCTAACTAGGATGCCCAGTAGTACCCTTATTCCCTTTTTGTAGTCCTAGGTTCCTTGTAAAGCTACCCAATACCAAAAAGAGAGGCCTTTTTATTCTTAGGTTGCTGGGTATCCTAGCTAACCCCAAATATCCTACCTTTTTAGGGACTTGTATTCAGAAATCATATTAGGGGGCCCTGAAAAGGTAGCTTCCTTAGGGTTTAGGTAGGGGTTTACTACTCAGTATCAGCTTTTGGATTCTGCATGCTTTGGATTTAAGTTTAGGGACGTTTAGGTTCAGGGCATAGGGTGGAATGTAGGAACCTGATTAAGAAATCTTGGTTCTTTGTTAGGGTTCTTTGTGTGAATCCTACGGTTTTGGAGTTCTAGGCCCGGGGTTTCCTAATCAGGTTCCTACATTAGACACCAATTCTTGGGACCGGTCCTTTTTAAACATGGGTCTACACGAAGCTTGACAATGAAGGCTCTGGGTTTCAGCGGCTTGTCCGATCAGGTTTGGCGCACGGTCGGGGATTGTCTTCAGGCTCGAGTTTAACTTAATTGGCTTGTTTGTCTTAGTGTCAGGTTTGAGTTTAGGGTGGGGTCTGTGGTGCAGATTGGAGGGTGAATTTAGATGTATGTGTTTAAAGTCGGCTGAGAGGCTTTGGTTGGTTTATGTATCCTCGAGGCCGAAATGAGCAACTGTGTTCTGTCGCAGGCTTCTCATTACAACCCTACTTGACACCATAAACCCTGCTGAAAATATGAGGACATATCAGTATTGTCTTTGTTGGGGTGGAAGATGGGATAATAGACTCCAGGCTTAAGCCACAAGTATCCTTGAAGGGCGTCAGATTGACTGGTTTAGGTTTTAGGGGTGTAGGGCGTACCTTTGAGGGGTGTCGCAGCTTCACGACTCTATCCGAGAATGAAGATGAAGAAGGTCGCAGGATTGCAACGACAGGACCCCGTGGGATGCGGGTGGAACTGCACGTAGCGACGTCCACAGCATCGGGAGGAGATCGCCGTGACACGGTCCGTGTTCCAGCCTAGGGCCTCCCCCAGCACGTTCTCTTCTCGCACTGCGACTGCGACTGGTGAGCCGCCTTCAAAGTCTTGAGATGACCGCGCCGTTTGTTCCGAAGGCAGAAAGCGGACTTCCGTTGCGTGGCGGACGCGAAGCTACGGCCACATAGGCCATCTCTCTCCCCCGACGGCTGCAGGAGAGGGACCAGGCCCGAAACCCGATCCAAAACTCAAGCCTGAGCTAAGCCCTACCTGGACTTTAAGGAACCTACCTTTTTAGTCCCCAATATGATTTCTTTATATAAGTCCCTAAAAGGTAGGTTATTCGGGGTTAAGGTAAGCTCAACCCTGAGCCAATTTCCATTTTGCCGCTCCTCAAGCCCGAGACTCCAAAGCCAACACAACCCCCCCAATAAGCCCCAAATCCCGATATCCTAAGCCTGAACTCCGAGGCATCCCTAAGCATAAGCCCTATACGATACACTAAGCCTGAACCCCCAAAAACATCCCTAAGCCTAAGCCCTATGATATAAACATTGAGTTGAAGTTCCCTCCAAAACAACCTAAATCCCAACACCCTAAGCTCTAAGCGTGAACCCCTAAACATCTCTGAGCTCAAGCCCTGTAAAAATTGGCGCGCCGAGGATCCAGCCTTGGATTCCTTGTACAACTGGACGGAGCCCATCCTGGTCCGAGGGGCGATCCCGGCCTGGTTTGCTTTGGGCCAAAGTCTGCAGTAGACGTCGTCGTCGTAGTGGCAGTAGCAATAAGTAGCGGCAGTAGTAATAGTAGTAGCAGTATAGTAGTAGGAGTAGTAACAGTAGTAGTATGGGGAGTAGTAGCAGTAGCAGCAGTAGTAGAGTAGGAGTAGGAGTAGCAATAAGGTAGTGGTAGTAGTTGGAGCAACAACGGCAGCAGCGACAGAAGCAGTGATATTAAGAGTATGAATGAGGGGCAGGAGTAGGAACAGGTGGTATCGGAAAGTAGGTGCCATTGTTGGTCAAGCTGTTGAAGGTGATACTAGTCCCAGCAATGTCGCCGCCATCATATGTCAGTTAAAACAGAGGTCGTGGCGGCAGCAACAAAAGCAGCAATCTTATATAGTAGCTGAGTGGATACTTTACACTTTTTGGGATAATGTTTCCCAGCATAAAACGAAAGCGTATATACACTTTTACTTTTGGGGGGCTTCTGATTTCAGCAACTAAGGCAATGATTGTCTCAGTGGGGACAGACAAGGCTTCGGCCGATAGTGTTTGTCTTCCAGCATTTACAGGGAACTCCAGAAAGTTGGAATATGGTTTCATGGTAGGATACCCTATAATTTACCATAGAAGGGTTAGGATAATCATTATTCAGCTTTCTGGCTTTTACCTTAGACCTGTGCCGCCATGTTCCGCCTATGCCTAACTTCCTATGCTTTGGAAGCCCTTGGTATGGGACAGGTGTTTAGGGCCTTGTTGCAAGGATGTTAAAGTGCTTTGTTGCGGCAGCAAGACATTTCGCACCATCGCCGTTACTGACGACCGACAACATTAATCATGGATAACCATGGTTTACCGGTTCAGAGGAGGGCTTTCACACAATGTTGAGTTGCGGCCTAAGCCCTAAGACCAATTGGCTACACCGACAACATCTTTCGTTTTATAAGGGTATATATACCTTGACAACGTCCCAACAGTTAATGCGTGCAGCTGGAGGAGCTGGCCGGTAGCCCGGTCAACGTCACAGTGACGCCGCTGGATGCTACGAGCATTCTCCTGCGCAGGGGGGCTCGGCTGTGGGCCTTTACAAGGGTGTCAGTTTACACGGGGCCATGTCCTTTGCAGCTGTCATACGTAAGAATATAGTATACAACAGCTTTGAGAGCATTTTTGCTGCGTCGAGTTGTCTTGTGTAGGATTTAACTGTCTAGCTTGGCCTGAATGTCTGCGGTTTGCGTGTTTACAGACAACATAGACCGCAGAACCCTAAGCTCAAACCGTAAGCTAGCTAAGCTAACGCTTATATGGTTTGAGTTTGGGTTCTGCAGTTTATATTAGCTGTAAGCTTTCCGTGGTTTCATGCCATTTTTCATTCATTCCCAACGCAGCAAGCTCCAGTAGCTAGCAAGCGTGCACTCTACATCCATCCGCAGATAGACGGCTCCTCAAGGGAGCATGTGAGACGATCCGTAGATCCAGAAACACAGAACTGCAATTAGACACACAGACCCCGTGCCTACCCCGAAGGGCCTGGCAGATGTGTGCAAAATTCCAACCACAGCCTGCGGAAGCGGTTTCATGCCAATATATGCCAATTCTGATCGGGTAGGAGGTTGTGTCAGCAACGATCGACCTTTCGGTTTCGGTCGCAAAGGGGTTTCGGGCTTGGGGGCAGTATTCCTCCAGGTTTTCCTGCTGCGTTTACAGCTTTCAGAAATGCTCAGACAGCTTTAGCCTCTTACTTCGGGGCCTGCAGTAACCCTTTAGGCCCTGGTCAGGCTCTGTTTAATAAGGCCCCTGCTCTAGGAGAGCGGTGGAGATTTAGTGTTACAGGGTTCGACTCTGGATTTAAGTGCGGTTTAGGGTTTAGGGATGTTCAATGATGTTTGGGGTTACGGAGTGGTTTTGGGTTGTAAAGTTCAGGGTTTTGGATGGGTTTCGGGTTAAACCCTCGAGCCCTGGAAGTACATGTTTCCAGGTAACATTTACTTTCACCAGAAGGCAGTCAAGGGTTTACGATGTAGTCGAATGTGTCGCAAGCCCGCACCCTTAAAAATCTCATAGATCGAAGACTCGGCGAGGAATTCGTTTGGGGCGAACCCTGAACCCTAAACCCCAAACCCTAAACCCTAAACCCTAAAACCTTGGAACCAAAAACCCAAAACCCAAAACCCTGAAACCCTGAAACCCTAAAACCCGAATGAAGGTTGGGACCCTTCCACGGTTGGCGACTGCATTTTTGCGTCTTGGGAGGTCCGCCTGCCCAGGGCCCAAAAATGCTTCGGGGTTCGGGGCTTGTAGGCCCCAAAGGGTCCTACGGTTGATTATATAAAGCCTGCATTACCTTAAGGACCCTACACTATGGGAATTATGGTAGATTCCATATTATGTAACGCAGGATATATATCATCAACCGAAGCACCTATATGGTCTGGGTTGTCCTTTGGGATCTGTTCTAATTTCCCCCTACTGTTTTGTACAAAACCATAATAGTAAATGACTTTCAAAGGGCTTCAAGGACAACTCAGTGATAGGATGTAGGGTCTCTATATCAGGAGTCACCATTATAATGATTTGGCGAGGTATCCCCCGTAACGGTACCCAGGACCCCTTGTAATCTTGAGGGATTCAGGATTGGCGGCTGGTGGTTGAAGGCGGGTTCAGGGTTCAGGAAAAATTTCTATGCAGCTCTTGAGCCCTTCGTGTAGGATGCATCAAAGATTTTGTACGGCATCTAACAGCTGGTGCGGCATTGAATGGAAATACTGTTTCGGTGCAGCTACACAAGATCGTAAACCCCTAAACCCCAAATCAAAGCCTGAAGCCTAATCCCCGCCCGATGGTTGGAATGCACACAAAGCAACAACTGCGACAAATGCAGTCACCAATGACCTTTCACAAGCATCACCCTGGTTAAAGTAAACTGCACCTTAAGGGGGTCCTGCAGTTCTTTTGACGGAAGCCTTAGCGTATTCTTTGTAGCAGAACCCCGATCAACTAACCCGACCAACCTTTGAACAGCTCCGACCAGCTACATACCCAAGGGCGCGATTGTAGTTTCTTTTGGGAGCGTCTTCGAGTCTGTTGAAGCATAGAGCGGGTAAGAGGAACTCAGGGAATGCAGACTTTACCATCTGACATCTGCGTATAGCAAGGTTTCCTGTAATCTCCGTATTGCTAAGGTCACTGGGCCTGATTTGTGTTCTTCTTGGGTCTGCATAGTAATACCTGTAGTCTCCACTGTAGGTCCTTGTTTAAGTTAAACAAACGTATAGTTAGGATCCTAACAGGCAACCCAAAACGGAACTACAATGGTGACACTGCCACCCCCCATGATTGTCCTAAGAACTGTGTCATGACGTATAAAGTATAAAGGCTCCTACATTACGAATGTTGCTCGTTCACTTCACTAAACACTAAGGGGCTCAGCCACTTTTCTGGCAAACCAGCCAACACTATAAAGCCTAAACTCGCACAGCCCTGTTAGCAGCCAGCCTTCTTTGGGATACCTGAAGATTTCCCTAAGGGTCCATGTACCCATATAGAGATACATGAGCCCCAAAGCTGAGTACATGGACCCTTAGGGTTTTAGGAGAGAAGAAGGGGGCTTCGAAAAGACATTCATGAAGCACAGCACCTACTTGGAGGTTCATGGGTAGTTATAAGTAGGGGTATAAACCCAACGCCCTATCAGACTTTATTATATAACTTTACCATAATATACCCATGTTGGACCCTTGCAGGTCCGATGGCGAGCTGAGACGGGAGGCGCACCGCCCTGGGAAGATGCCACACTGTGCCAGGAGCCGCCCATAAGCGAAAGAGGTTGAGCTTTTGGGGTTTGAAAGGTCTATTACAGGTATAGCGTGGGGGAGCTTGGGGTTTCAAGTTTAAGGCTTAACGCTTGCTATAGTCAGGTCAGGTGTTCCTTTTGGGGGTTTAATGGTTTAGGGTTTTAGGGGTTTTAGGGCCCATTTATAGAGTCCTTACGGCCCTTAATAGTGGGGACTGGGGGTATATTAGAGGGAGTTGGGGGCTCTAGGTTAAGGTAGTTCCTTTGGGTGCTGAGGACGTAAACCCGACAGCCTAAACCCCTAGTTTGAGGCTTTTGACTTAAGGTTTGCTATCGTCAAGTCGGTGTCGTCGGCGGTTGCGGCGTTCGAGGGCTGTCAGCTTCGGGGGCCTTACCCTATAAACCCTAAACCCCCTGAGCCCTAAACCCTAATTAAGGTCTTCTTGCTGTACCTGCAGTCGGAAAAGGGTTCATTTATGAAAGTTACCATAATAGGGATCCTTCAAGGGATCTATAAGGGTTCCTTTAAGGGTATAGGCTTTCAGGTTTAAGTTTGTATAAAAGGGATCTATAATTAAAGAACCTAGGTCTGAAAGAGTTTGGGGACTGTTGACATCGACACCTACCCAGAGGCCCCAAAGTAGTTCCTTTTGGGGATTACCTTATAGGATTCTATGTATGAACCCCCAAAAGGAACTACTTTGGGGCCTTTGGGTAGTCTGAGACCTTGAAACTTCGCGTGCTCGAGCCCGATGTCGGAGTTCGGGCTTAGGATTGAGGGTTTTGGGCTTTGGGCTTTCGGGTTTTGAATTTTGGGGGTTTTGGTTTAAGGGTTTTGGGCTTTGGGCTTTAGGGTTTTGAATTTAGGGGTTTTGGTTTAAGGATTGAGTTTGGGCTTTGGGCTTTAGGGTTTTGAATTTTTGGGGTTTTGGTTTAAGGATTTGGGGTTTTGGGATTTGGGCTTTTGGGTGTGCGGCAACTGATATTGGCAGCTCCACGCCGTGCACGCAGCCACAAAGCATCACGAAGCCGTACGAATCTTAAAGGCCGGAGCAACCTTAAACCTGCAGGATCTCGGTACAAAGCAGCCATATCAAAAAGAACTACTGCAAGCCCTAGGACCCCAAAACCTATGCCTTAAACCCTGAACCCGAAGACCCTAAACGTTATGGTCTAAACCTGAACCCCCAACCCCTAAACCCAAAACCCCTGAAACCACGAACCCGAACTCTAAACCCCCAAACCCTGAATACGGTGAGAGGATCTTACAGAGCGGAACTACACCGAGTGCATCATCGATGGCCTCACCGCAGGTGAGTCCTACTCCGCCGGGATCTGAGCTTCCGAGTGAGGATGGCAGAGCTAAGGGTTGTTGGGGTGTAGGGTTCAGGGGGGTCAGTGTTTAGGGGTTTTGAGTTTAGGGTTCTAGGGTTTATGGTTTGAGGGGTTCAGGGTTTATAGGGTTTAGGGGCTTAGGGGTTGGGGGGTTGCAGCCCAGAGTGTAGGGCAGTGTAGGCTTTAGGGTTCAGGGTTTAGGCAGTAGGGTTTGAGGATAGGAAGTGCAAAAGGGTTCTATTATTGAACTGAAGGTCCCGGGTGTAGGTCTAGGATCAGGGCATCTCTGTAGCCGAAAAGACCTACTTGTTTCGCGCTCCTTGTGATGGTGTCTATTTATATTATAGTTCCTAAAAGGGTAGGTTTTTCGGCTACAGGTAGGGTTCTGAAGGTTCTGAATCTAAAGATATTGTTTTCTTGGGTTCCTTACTATGGTTTCTACATTTATATATATATATATATATGTACATGTATGGTCTCGAGTTTGTTCCCATTCTGCCAAGGTCACTGTCGCAGAAACCTGCACAGATGTCCGGACAAGCAGTCTCGCGCGGCAGACGGAGATATTTCGATGGAGTGAGGCGCTTCGGAGTTCGGGGGTTTAGGGGTTACAGTAGAAGCCCAAAAGTTGGAAACTTCATAGCCTCAATCCTTAAGAGTAATGTATAGGGAATCCCAGCACCATTTGGCCTTAACCCGGTTTCCAACTTTATGGGGTTTACTGTAGGGTTTCAGGGATTAGGGTTTAGAGTTTAGGCTTCAGGGGTTTCAGGGCTTAGGGTTTAGGGCTTTGGGTTTAGGGTTTAGGGTCTTTCAGGGCTTAGGGTTTGCCAATGTTTAAGTGTCAGATGTAGCTTGAAGGTGTGATTTCTTAGTAATGATTTCCCGTCAAAGGCCCGACATAACTAATCTGCGGTATGCTTTGCAAACCAAGTCCAACTTGTGGGGCCCCCATACATTGGCGCATAGGTTCGGCCTAAACCCTAAACCCTATAAGGCCTGAAACCCTAAACCCTAAACCCTAAACCCAGAGTGCCGGGCCGGGGGGTGTCAAAGTTTTACATGCTTCGCGACAGGGTCCCGGGCCCTAGCCTCTTTACTACTTTAGGGTTTAGGGTTTAGGGTTTAGGGTTTGGGTTTAGGGTTTAGGGTTTAGGGTTTAGGGTTTAGGGTTTATGGTTTAGGGTTTAGGGTTTTAACACGATGGAACTTGGAAAAAGTTTCAGACCCTAAACCCTATAAGGCCTGAAACCCTGAAACCGAATATCGACTGACTAAGTCACTGTCATTTTCAGGGGGGAGATCGCCGTTCGGGTGTGGGCTTGCTGACGTGGAGCCCTAAGTGTGTCCAAGCACCAACATAGCATAGTCTTTTTGGGTTTGGGGTTTAGTGGTACCAATATATGACAGTAAGGCAATCCTAAACCCAAAACGCTAGGGGGCCTGGACCCTAAAGCCTGAACCGTCTCTACCATAAACCTTGACCTTGGGCTGCCTTTCTTCTCAGCATAAGGTCTTTTCTACTGTAGTTGTAAGCAGGAACCTTCAGCAAGCACAATGTTAGTAATTATCGCGGCACCCCTCGTAAGGCCTAAAAGACAGCGGTTCCCTTACTATGAAAGGGTAATGAAGATCCCTGATTAAGAGCCCGTTTTATCAGCAGTTAGGATCCCGATCACAGGGCTTATGGCGTATGAATCGGGCGTCCACATGACCCTAAGCGCGAGGGGGAGACTGGGAAGTTGCTGAAGCTTGTCTTCTGCTTCGAAACAATGAAACAGCACGTCAGATCAGGCAGTAATAGCTGCACGGCAAAAGACGCTTTTATTGGCAACTGTCAGCAAGTTTGCCTCACCATATCCACGACGTCACAAAAGCAGTCGTTTTCGGGAAAAAGCAATCGGTGTTGTTCCCTGCCGTACAGTGCTCCTGGCAAGCGTGTCCATTTGTCATGGCACTTGATCGCAGCAGCGGGCTCAGAATGAAGTTTGGTGTTCTTCGTTACTTATTGTCTCTTGATAGCCTGTTTTTTTTTCTCGACTTCACGTTTGCCTTCTGAGACGTTCGTTGTTCGCATTGGAGCAGCACGGAGTTGTTGTGTGCTCAAAACCGCTGATGCTTCCTTTTGTTATGATGTCCGCGCTGTGCTTGAGCGTACTGGACTGTGTTCAATTGCGAGTCGGAGTTTGTGCGGCTTTTGCTCGCCTTGCCAATGAACGTGTTTCTTCTGTTGATGGTTTGCGCTGCGCTCGCCGGCAAGAAAGGCGACCAGGCTGGGGTTGCCTTTATCATCAATCCCTTATTGATTGCTCTTTTTGACAGGGCCCAGGCAGGCGAAACGGTCCGACTTCGGATCGCTCGCAGGCACAGATTGCTCTCAGAGACTGACGGCACCATGACCAGGAGCAGAACCGATGCCGTGCCGCAAGTAGCTCCGGGGGCGGTGCCGTCCCAGGTGAATGTTCCATGTTGCGCGTCGATAGATTGCGTGGCTGTGATGCATGGATCATGTTAGCTTGAAGGAACTCAACGAAACCTTCCTTAATGGGTTTGCTACCGCGCTCACGCTTGAATCAGACTTTCAGCCGCCCCAGGAGACCTAAACGTTTTCTCCAGGCAGTTGCCGCTTTGGGATGGTTTGTGTTTTGCAGGCTGGTGCAACAAATGTGGCGTTGCATGAAGACCCGTTCCTGCAGTCGATGGTGCAATTCGTGGACGGCGCTGGGTTTGCTACTGCGCTTACGCTTGAATCAGACTTGCAGCCTGCCCAGGACACCTAAACGTTTTCTCCTGGCAGTTGCCGCTTTGGGATGGTTTGTGTGTTGTAGGCTGATGCAACAAATGTGGCGTTGCATGAAGACCCGCTCCTGCAGTCGATGGTGCAATTCGTGAACGACGCTGGCACTGTCCCCACCACGCAAGAGCACAACCTTCACCACATCATGGAGCACATGCAGATGCTCCACGATCAATTGCAAACCATCATGTACCTCCATCGCCAGTCTACACAGCAGATCGGGCATGTCATGAATCAGCAACCGCATCTCATTCAGCAAAGCATTTGCATGTTGCAGAACCAAGAGGCCAACATCCAGCAACTCCGCCACATGATCCGCCAACTGCTCTGGATGATGACTGGAACCTGGAGCTGAGGAGTTGGTGCTTAAGGATACGGATGTTCAAGGTTGGCCCATGGGCCTGGTGCTTTCTCAGCATGTTTTGAGCGCGTGTTTCGCGTGAGCCCGAGCCTGTAGCTGTAGCAAGTGGTGAAGCCTGGGACGGTTGCCTAGGTGTCAGTTGTCGTGAGCGACGATTGCAGAGTACACACGGTGAGGGGCAGTGTTTCATGCAGCACACTTCAGGAACCTCGCGATTCTGGCAAGGGTCAGCGGAGGGCTTGAACCTTCGGAGAGAAATTCTTGAGCTGCGCAGTCAACCCTCGGTGCGATTGTGTTTGCGTTTGTGTTTGTGCTTGTGTGCGCGAGTGTGTGCTCATGTGCACAATGTGCACGTGAGACTTCCTATAGCTCAAGGAAGAATCGGATCAAATGTGCTCAGATAGAACAGACTTTGACCTTACAGTCGTCTCTGTTTAGGTACCCTGGGGCCAATGTATCCACTGTAATCAGCACAAGGACCCTTCAACCGTAAACCCCCCAGATCCCTCATAGAACCGTGATGGTACCCTTTAAGGAACCCTTGAAGGAACCTATTTTTGTATATGAGGGGAGACGGCCATTGAAACCCAAGAGAACCCCCGGTGAAACCGGAAGTTCTCTAAAACCCGCCCGTTGTGATAATACCACAGGCAACCAGCCAAACCACTTCCTGTTAGGGTTTAGGGCTTACGCTCTCAATGCCCACTCCGCAAAAAAGGGGACGAGGATTTGGGTGTTTCCGGCTGATTCTCGCCCTAGGACCGACCCAGCAAGCCCACTCTCCATAGGCTCCACCCGTTCTTTAGCCCACCCAGTTATGGTCACGCGCTCCGCAGCCCCCCCCCCCCCTCCCCCCCCAAAGGTCAATGGTCCGGATATAGGGTGGGGCCCCCCCCTCCCCTGTGGTGTGGGGTGTGGGGTTCCTCTTCCTCCTGTGGGGTGGTTGTGGGGTTTTGGGGTTTCGGGTTTAGCTTAAGCTTTTGAGTTTTGGGTTTACGGTTACAAGGTATAAGGCTTCGAGTCGACAAGGGCTTAGGGAGGATTTGCGGTGTATGCTCTGCTTTAGGCTTAGAGCCTGCAGTTAGGTGGTGTTTAGGGTTGGGTGTAGTGTTTTAAGTACAAGTTAAGGTTGCTCAAAACAGGGGCGCGCGCTGCGTCATAGGGTTTACGGCTTGCTTGCGAAGGGCTTGCGCGTGAGCCCTGGCCGCCAGCACCACCCCACCATCCAGTGGCAGCTCCAACGGCCCCCAACCCCTTTCCGCACACGCTAGGCCCCCCCCCCCGGGGGGCTGGGAACGCCAGACGCTTGACCAGTTATGGGTGGGAGCGGCCCAAGGGGGCTGAGTGGGAATTTAGGGTTAAGATTTAGGGCTTAGGGTTAGGGTTTAGGGTTTAGGTTTATGGTTCAGGTTCCGTGATACCGTAATGAGTAGTTCCTGGATTCCCGGCCTATCTGCCCCGAGATCACCCCTATGAAACCTTTAGAAGCCGTTCGACTTGCTGGCACAACGCCCGGTAGGATAATAAAGGCACCTTAAGTCAAAAGACCGTCTTCGGTAGCTGGGAGGTTGGCGTCTGGGACATTTACCTTGGTGCAAACCCGACGATGTCCACACTGGCACGAAGCTGAGTCGTTGCTCTTTGCTTAGGCGCAGGCGCTATTTGGGGGGCGCATGGGGGGTTATGGGCATATGGAGTGCAGCAATATGTTAGGGTGACCTACAGGTATAGGCTCCATTGGTTGTGGCTCCTTTTCGGCATTACCTTATAGGGTTCCAAATATGAGCCACCACAACGAATTGCAATGGAGACTAGAGGTAAGTAAATACCATGGGTTATATTATAAGTACCTAAACCCTACCTAAACTCTACCTAAGCCGTAAACCCTGAACCCTGAACTTAAGTACCATGCAGCATCGCTTGGCTGTTGGGTTCAGGATGGTATAGCTTCATACCTTCGTCAGATCGCCGGTGTGGAGAGTTTGAAATTTGGACTCGAGGGTTGCGCCCTAAGCCCCAAAATCCCAGACGCAGCGCCCAAGCATTAGACGGTAGAATCATCTTCACGCACACGCACAAGCGGCTTTGTTTTTCTGATTGAAACAGCAGGCTCCACACATGTCCACACATATCATGTCATATTAAGTAAGACCCGAAAGTCTCGAACCTGAGGCCCGAGAGTCAAGGAGCACGTCGGGTGTCTTTTGTCGAGATCCTTCGTTTTGCTTTTCCTGTTCAGGAAGGAAGCCTAACAGCGAACTTTCCCCGACAGGCACACACGCACACACGACAAATCCAAAAGGCCAGCATCTTCGCTGAAACTTGAAAACCTACAAACCCTAACACCCTCAGCCCCAAAGCCCGACCTCCCACAGAACGTCAGACGAAAATGAACTCCATGAGGACTTACTCAAGTCCCTCTTGAATCTTGCACTAACACCCTTACAGATGCTTCGGCTAGTAAGCAAGTACCCTTCTTGTACTTACAGTGAGTGAAGGCACAATCATAAGCCCGTAACTTCAAGACAACCGAACATTCCGCGACAGTGCCCTGAAAGTTGCTGGCAAACTCAGAACTAGGCATCCCGCAGAGCCCGTAAAGCTCGATTTAGTTCCCGGGAAGGTTTAACACAGCCCTCGTAAATCTTGCTAAAGCCTTAAAGTCTTAACATTCAAGCCCCGCAAGTCGCACCCTTCGAGTCAAACATCTCTGGAACCACAAGAATCCCACCAAGGCCCCCAGCGACACCCCGGAACACGGTTTAGGGTTTAGCGGTTTAGGGTCTAGGGTGCCCCAGGTCTCCACCTTGTCTAGCGAAGTGGCGAGCTGCGAGGTGCCTTGATTCGAGGATATCTCGGCCATATACTGGGTTCTTGTTACTTTAAAGGTTCCTTTAAGGGATCTAAAGGGGTTCCTTTAAGGTTGCCCCGGCTTTTCTTAAGGAGGTTAATTTAAGTTACCATAGTAAACCGTATTAGTTGCCATGGATCCCTGCTATAGCAACTTATATAAATTAAATCTCCTAACAAGGACCCAGTAAACCCATCGTAAGCCACTAAGCCCTAGAAACACAGACATTTTGTAGGATTATTTAGGGGCTCAGGGTGTCAGTGTTTAGGGTTTGGCAATTAAACTGAGTGCTTGGGGTTTCAGGGCTTTGGGCCGGGGGTTTAAGGTACCTCCCAGCTGTAATTTGAGGTTCTATGGAGTCTTCTCACCCCATGCCTTGCACAATAAGTCTTGTCAGACTCCCGTAGGAACCCAAATAGAACCCTTATAGTAGATCATAACATGTATAGGATGTATGGGGCCCGTAGCACAGCACTCGATCGCGGGCAGGTCATCACTACATGCTGCAGCGATGAGCTTCTTGGCTGGCCTTTCACTGGGGCTCCACATGGTCCAAAGTCGGCTTTGTCTTCAGACTGTCGACCCCAAAGTAGGTACTATTCTTGAGCCCTAGAGTTTGACAAGTGCAAGGTATGCTTATTTCAGAGCTCCTACCTGTCTAAGGGCTGACGTATGGACACCAGAATTGGGTGTGCCGGCAAGGTGGGTTTTCAGGGTTCAGTTATGCAGGATTTGCCAAATTGGCTCCAATGGAGTTCCTTTTCTCGTTAGCACATTCCTTTGGTCAGGATCCTGTGGTAAAGTCCTCAGGTGTCCAACAAAGGAAATTCAATCTTTGTGTAAGGGGTATGGCCTAAGCCTTGCAACTCACCTCAAAGCTCTCGCCTCAAGGTTTTTTCCTGGACCCTTAAGCCCCAGTGTCTTAGGCTGAACCCAGGTTCCCCGCCTGCACCCATGCCTAAACCCTCAACACCTATAGCCGTAAGTCTTGAACATACTGTAGTCTACTTAGGAATTGTTTTTCAATTTTTGTTCATATATATATATATATTATACAGCAAATTAATATTAACTTATGGTTCTAAAGGGGGTATAGTATACTCTTATCCCGAAATCCTAAACCCAGGTTCTCCATCTGCTACGGCACCACCGCGGCATTTAAGCTCGGGGCGAACATCGTCCGGACCGATGAGACAAGCGGTTGCCGCCTCGGCTGGGTGGGCTTTGATTGGGGCTTAGTGGGACGGGGTGGGGGGGGGGGGTAATTTCGGTTTAGAGTTTAGGGTTTGGTGTTTAGGGTTTAGCCAGAATTGAAGGTTTGGGGGGGGGGGGGGGGGGGGGGTGCTAGCATGCCCAGTAGTACCCTTATTCCCATTTTTGTAGTCCTAGGTTGCTTATTAAAGTTACCCAATACCAAAAAGGGAGTCCTGCTTATTCCTAGGTTACTGGGCATCCTAGGGTGTAATTTCGGTGATTCGCCAGAATTGAAGGTTTAGAGTTTCGGGACGATACGGATTGGTAAGAGGAATATAGAGTCCTCATCATTGTTTTTCCTGTGTTGGATAGCCAGGCTTATGGCTACGGTCAAAAAAGAGGTTCTGGTGGCCAATAGGACGTACCAGGGGTACTACAAGCAGCCCGACATGATTTCTGAAGCATATGAGTCTCAACCCCAAGCCCTAAGCCCTATCTATGTTCTCAACCGCATGACCCTAAACCCCTGATCCTAAACTCCGTGGTTCCATTAAGCTGCCCACGATAGAGCCCTAAAACCCTGCGTGTGCTGCAGTTTTAGTAGGTTCCAGATCTTCCGTTCCAGCAGCTGTCGCCATGGCGTTTCGGTTGCTTCTGAGCTTCGAGCTCGCTTTGCTCGCGGTGGCGAGGGTGGAGCCTTCGAGCAGTACATCAAGGCCCGATGTAGGACTTAAGGGTCTGAGGTCATGAGGAGGTGTTTTTGACGATGTTGGTTTGGGAAGTACCACAGCTTCTACAGCATAATCCACCATCTTCGCCGATTCGACTATCATTGTCTCTCTCCAACCGCCCTACTTGTTGTTTGCCTCTGCCCAATTTACCACCATCATCATCATCATCATCATCTTTGCTCTCCCCACGTGTCCTTCAGCGTTTCCTTCATCATACTCGCGTTCACGAGCTACTCACGACAGCATGTCTTCCAGCGCCAAGAAGGGTTCAAGGCCCCAAAACCTGCCGGTCGGTGACCTTGCCATCGATCCTTAGACCCCCCAACTACCGTCCAAGTACCCTAAATACACACTATGTTAAGGACGATAAGGGCTCCATTAAACCCTAACAACCCCTAAACCGTGGTACCTTAAATACCCAGTATTAAGGACCATAAGGGCTCCGTTAACGGGCCATTGCGGGGCTCCTGGCCAGGACTTCGGCAAGAAGTACGAAGCTGGCGAGGAACAAGAGCGTTTCGCTGCTTTCAAGGAGAACTACGAGCATCGTGGCCGACTTCCCTAGACCCTAGACGGTTTAGGGGTTTGGGGTTTAGGGTTTAGGGTCGAAAAGAAACGGCTCGTAAGTGGGTTTAGGGTTCAGGGATCATTATCAAGATTGGTCTTTTGATAATTCTAGGGCTCTAGGGTTCTATAAGGGGCCTGTGAGGGTTCCATTCTCAGACCCCCGGGAGGATCCAACAAGTAGATCCCTAATGGGGGTTCCTATAAAGTACCCTTAGCAGTATAGGGCCAGGGAGTTGAGGTTCTAGGGTTTTTCAGTTTAGGAGTTTAGATTTCGGGTTTTGCGTTTACCCGCCACGGATCGCGCCCTTCTCGCCCACAATTTCAAGAGCCGCCCAGAGACTCCAATACCCCTTAACTGAGTAGTATTCCTTAAGTTATAGTAGGATCCCTAATGTGATTTAGGGTATATCCCCTAATTAGGGGATATTGGAGTCTCTGGGCGAGCCAGTGCTGGCCCCAAACGGTCGGAAGCCTATACCCAGAGGCCCCATAGTAGTTCCTTTTTGGGGATTACCTTATAGGGTTCTATCTACGAACCCCAAAAAGGAACCACTTTGGGGCCTATGGGTATAAACCTCAAACACGAAAACCCATGAAGTCGGAGGCTCTTTGAAGCCTGAAGCGCCAAGGCCCCGAGTCAAGTACCGATATAGCATCGCAGGATGTAGGGTTTCTATGTGGGTGGTTGTCAAAATTATGGTCCCTTCTTGGGTCCTTACCATAGTACGGCACCTAATATTTAGGATCCCCAAAAAAGGACCATAATCTTGACAACTACCCATATAAGGAATTACTAAAATGATGTGGAGAAGTTTTCCCCGAAACAGTACCTAGGACCCTTTGCCAAGGTATATCCTCCAGGAGAATGAGAAGGGCCATTCCTACAAGCTCGGCCTGAGCCTTGACTCCGTCGTAAGCATGGCACCCAATTGGTCCTAAGTACCGAAGTACCTATATGGTCGAATGTAGGGTTTCTGGAATAGGAAGTACTATGATGATTTGGGGAGGTATCCCCCATAACATTACCTGGAACCCTTCGGGTCAGAAGCTTAAACATTTGCCAACTATTCCCGAGGGTCATGTCTTAGAGGTCCGAAAATAGTTGGCAACCATAAAATAGTCGTTATGGTCAAACCAGAAAAGATACTACAGACCAGGGTCTAGGAGGATGTTAAAGCTTCAACTGTGGTGGGTGGGCTTGGCTCACCACTGCCAGCGCTGAGCAGATTTCGGAAGAAGAAACCCTTAACACGGAGCCCTCCAGCAAACCATTCACCCTGAATGTGTCTGTCGGTTGCTGTAGTCGGTGTGTGTGTGTGTGTTTCGGCCGAGGATGCTTGTAAAGCCAAAGATGAAGGGCTCCACGACTGATCATCATACTGCCCCTTTAGAAGATTACCGCACGAGTTGTTATGAGTTGTACGTGGCTTTGGCATCGTGTAGTGCAAAATCCTCGTTGAGGCAGCGCCGGATGCTCTCAAGTCAGAGGTGCACGGTAGGGATAAATGATAGCATAACTGAGCGCTTAACTGAACTCCTACGAGTCTGCGGCATCCCATTCAGCTTCATGTGCTCGAATCATGGGTAACACTCGGCCTTTGCTCTCCCCGAGGCCTTCACATTTCAGTTTGGTTTATATAACCGAAGCTGTCACATCCCACAAAAAGCAGGTACCGATAGCACAGATACTTTGGCCCTAAATCAGAATAGCATGTTCGTACGTAGACCCTTGGCGTTAATATCTTAAACTCCAAAGCGAAAAAGGGGTCTCCCACACCTCCTAAGCCCTAAACCCCAAACCCCCAGACCCTGACCCCCGAAACCTTAAATCCTAACCCCCTAAACCCCCTACGCCCGAATCCCCGAACCCCTAAACCCCTAAACCCAACCTTAACCCCCAAATAACCTACCTTTTTTAGGGACTTATATAAAGAAATCATAATTAGGAGGCCCGAAAAAGGTAGGTTCCTTAGGGTCCAGGTAAACCCTAAGTCCCAAGACTGGCGCCACCATTTCAAGCGGATGCCCAGTAGTACCCTTATTCCCTTTTTGTAGTCCTAGGTTCCCCAGAGGCTCCAATATCCCTTACTTAGGGAATATGCTTTAAATCATATTATCTCTGGGCCCTTCATTAAAACCCTAAACCCTAAGTCCCCAACCTGGCCACCATCTCAGGAACCCCTACTCGGATCAAAGCTCAGATGACTTTCTGCAGGGCCGTGGCTGGGTTCTCCAATCAGGTTTAGCATTTTTTTAGTGGGTTTTAGGGTTTAGGGGTTAGGGTTTAGGGTTTAGGTCTTAGGGTTTATGGCTTGTTTAGGGTTCAGAGTTTAGAGTTTAGGTCTCAGGGTTTATGGCTTGTTTCGTGTGTTTTAGGGCTTAGGGTTTGTGGTATGGGGCTTTGGGTTTAGGGTGTGTATCATAAGGTTTTAAAGGCTTAGGGTTTAGGGCTTGTTTAGTGTTAGCGCTTCGGGTTTTGGGCTTAGGGTTTCGGGCTTAGGGGTTAGGGTTTAGATTCTGTCGTAGCTGTTGTTTCATCTCAGTTGGTTTAAGGGCCAAGAAGATTAAGGGGTTTATTGGCATCTACGAAATGAAATGTTGCAGGTTGCCTTGCGTGTCTTGGAGGGTCAGTTGTATTGTCGGGAGTTTAGTGGCAGCTGGCTTTCCCGGTAGTTGCAGGCTCGGCATAAGTTTTCGTGCTTTTATTATTACTGAATCCTAGAAGGGAACCAGAAGACTTTAATACAGATGATATAGCCATGCCGCTACCGTTTACTTATCCCTGGACCATCACTGAGCCTATAAGCAAAAGCCATGCTATTCAGGGTGTAGATGTTCAGGATTTCTTACTTTCTGAAACTGCTTGGCCTAGCGGCCCTTGGCCAGCAGGTCCTCAACTGGGTAATCTCAACAACGGAAAGCTGAAGCCCTGGAGTTTTGACGACAAAGTAGTCAATGCAGCTTTATTCATGCTTTTCCCTTTACCTATAAGTTCGTCTCCTTCAGTACTTTATCTTCCTCATGAGCTCTCCTCCCACTCAATCCTAATCTGAAGTAAAGGGCTGCAAATCCCAGGTCTGGGACTGCGGAAGCCGCAGAGACAGTCCGGCTCGCGCCAGACTCACGTGCCCAAGCTTCCGCGACTGGAGCTTAATTATTCATAGAAACCCTAAGACTCCAAATAGCCCAAAGTAGGTAGTATTTATAGACTTTAGACCCCAAAGTGGGTACTCTTTGTATACTTGGAGTCTTAGGGAAACATAGCTGTGCGACTCTTCCTTTGGCACGTGCAAGTAAGACCCTCAACCCTACACCGGCAAGCAGGTTTAACCCCGCTCCCATCCTAAGTTTCCGATATCCGTCGTGTGCAGGACTAGATAGAATAGATAGGACTCTAATCCGGAGGCTTCACATACTTCCGGTGACTAAAGCAGGTTTATGGTTTAGGGTTTATACTGTAGGTTTTTTTCTAGTACTTGAAAGCTGTTGGGGCTCAGCCAGGGTGACAGTGTGGCTAGTCATACCTTAACCGGGGCTACAAGTCCTCAATTAAGACAGTAGCTCTGCACTTAAATTACTTATGGCCAATATATATATATATATATATATGTATATATATGCGAACTCCTCTGATCGTGTAAGTGCACCTCAAACCTGAAAACTCTATAGAGGCCATCATAAAGCTTTACAAGTTTCTGGAACTTAAGAAAACTGCCAGCTAAAGTCCAAATGTGCTTCAAGTACACCTAAAAACCGGAAGAAGACTCTTTACACGCCATGAGAAGGGAGTGTAAGCAGTGCTAACCCCTACTAGGTACCCTGGTCACCCCCAAACCTTACATACCAAACTGCTTACAGCCCTAAACCATAGCGTGCCCTGGTCCTCTACCCAGACCCCGGGAGGATCCAGAAAGTAGATCCCTTGATTTGGGGCCCTATACTACTAAGGGTACTTAATAGGAACCCCGTTGAGGAATCTACTTCTTGGATCCTCTCGGGGGTCTGGGTAAGTGCACCCAGAGACTCCATTTTCCCTTTAATTATTAATGGAATATACCTTAAATCATGTTAGGGGTCCTACCATAACTTAAGGAATATTCCCTAATTAAGAGATATTGCTGTCTTTGGGCACAAGGAAGAGCGCACTTCCGAGCTCCGTGGACTGGCGCACGAAAGGAGTCGCTTGGGCGGATTGAAGCTAAGGTTTAGAGCTGAGGCTTCATAGTAGTTCCTTTCTTGGGGCTCATATTGATACTGAGCCCGCAAGAACACCGGACAGAATAATGTTGGGATGTATTCCGGCCTCGACATCATGGGCTGTCAAAGGGGGTAGCAATGGCGGTTAGGGCTTGGTCGTCGGGGTTCAAGGTCTTACGTGCAGGAGAGAGGGAAAGGCAGGAAGAGGTGCACCATCTGATTCAGAAGAGTTCCTGTACCTATGTCATATCCGTATTAGCTGAGTAGCTCTATGTAAAGTTACCAACCATGTTCGAACCCTTTTGTGCAGCTTAAACACCTTCCAGGACTGAAGGCTTCGAGCATCGAACTAAGTTGTCTTCGGCCATATCAGATTATGTCGGAAAGCCTCGCCAGCTCATTTAACTTAGGAACTCCACCTGAGCACAGCCCCGCACATGTTCAGTCACAAGCAGCCAAAGTGTTTAGTAAGCCGTCATGAGTCCCCAGCTCCCCAGGCCCCCGTTTAAGTTTAATGTAGAAGGCTGAAAAATGCCATATGTTATTTCCTATTATGATTGTACTATAAGGAACCCAAAACCCACTCTGACTATTAAGGCCCCTCCATGAAGCCAACCGTGCCCTAACCCTCCGCACCTGCGCCATCCCATCCGCCCCAGGTGGTGACGGCGGTGAAAAATCAGCAGCAGTGTGGCTTGGTGGTTGTTGATTTGTGTTTAGAAGCACATTCTGAAGTGCTTACGAGAATATCTGCCCTATCATGCTGCAAGTTTCCGGATGCATACATGCTAGAATCGAAAGGATGAACATATACGCCTGAGAGCGGCAACCCAAGAAAACTATAAGAGGATGTGAACAAAAACGCATTTTTATAAGTCCCTGACCCACACACCTTCAACCGAAAGACTTGAGGATGTAAAACGGGTGTTTTCATGAGTACCCTAAACCCTAAACCCCCTCAGCCCTAAACCCTAAACCCTAACCCTAAACCCCAAACCTGAACCCTAAACCCTTAAAAAAAAATAAACTCTTAAAACAAACCCAAACCCCTTAAAAAATGTCCCTGAACCGAAAGACTCCAGGTGGCTCTTGCTGGGCCTTCAGCGCCACTGGAGCCCTCGAAGGCCGGACTTTTCCCTGAGTGTTTCAGGGTCGAAAAGAAAGGGCGCCTAAGTGAGTTTAGGGGTTAGGGATTTAGGGGTTAGGGGTTTGGGGGTTAGGGATTTGGGGTTTAGGGGTTTAGGGGTTTAGGGGTGAGGGGGTTTGGGGTTTAGGGTTTAGGGGTTTAGGGTTTACAGTAGGGTTTAGGGTCGAAAAGAAAGGGCGCATAAGTGAGTTTAGGGTATATAGGTTTTATTGTCAAGGTTAGTCTCTTGGGCATTCTAGGGCTCAGGGGTTCTATACGGGGCCAGCAAGGGTTCTACTAGGGTTTAGGGCTTAAAGGGCTATAAGTTATTATGAAGATAAGTCTTTTGGGTTTGAGGGTTTCAGTGGGCAAAACAGGACTTATACGAGGGCTCGATTTAGGATGTTTGTGAATACGGAAAATTTCCCTGAATATCGAGCCGCAGTTACAAATAATTTCGGCGACTGCTGAAACCGACACATAGTATATATAAGCAATTATCAAGATTAGTCTTGTGGGTTCTAGGGGCTCTAGGTTTCTATAGGGGGGGTGTATCTATCGGCGGTCGGGGTTCAGGGGGTTATACATGGGCTTAAATAATCAGCACTGTACGTAATTATGTACCATTACTATTTTTGGGGCTTCTTACTGCTGTACCCCACGGCTCCACTCTAATTGCTGGTTAAGGCCCTAAGAGTATATAGGTGCTCGGGGAAATAAGGATTCAGGGTTGCCGTATTCTGTCTTGAATAAGAAGATTAGAGACCTATATAGAGGTTCAGGGTTCAGGGGGCCGCAGGATTTGTAGGGGCTTTAGATTTTCAGAGATTAGGGTTTCGGGGTCTAGGCAGGTTGAAGGCGTTAGGGTTTCAGTCAGTCCCCCGGTCAGAGCCTCAGTCCAATCACTAACGCTCCCCAAATACCTCGGACCAAAAAAACCCTAACCCAGCTTCAGCTGAAAATGCACCGCAACTTGAACTTGGAGGAGCACCCACGGGCCCTGACAGGTTAGACATGACGTCTTAAAGCTCACACCCTGAAGGAACATCCGGTTCTTTAGATCACCTCTCTTGTGCAAGGAGCGTGGGCGCTTTCAACCGGGTCTTTGATCTCGCTGTCAGAGCACCCATGCTGCAGATCCCAAAGGGTCCGAGGTATTGTTATGGGGGATACTTCCCCAAATCATAATAGTAATTCCGAATATGGAAACCCTACATTCTACTGTACAGGTACTTTGAACCCCTTGGGGATTAGGATTCAGCACCTTCGCTTTTCAGCTCAAGGCTGAGTCTTGGGGCTTCCGAGCCGCCTTCTCCGCCTTTCTCGAAATGGGGGTTTCCGAAAATAGGGGACCCTAATCTAGTACCCTAAATTGTAGGATCCCTATGAATATAAGGACCCCAAAATAAGGTACCCCTCATTTTCGGAGACTCCCAAATCCTCAATTCCTTTTGTATTATCCAGAAGCCAACTTACTTGCTCCTCAGATCGCTTTAGTGGTTGAGGTTTCCGTGTTCTTCCTCTCAGTAGAACTCCCTTTATATCGCCGCAGCCTCCTTTCGAGCGGTACCTCGACATGAGTCTGCACCGGTGTGTATTCATCTGGTTACACATATGCATCGGTAGAGATACTGTGTATATGTATTTGTTTATACCAGCAGCATTTTACATCGGTATGTATGCCAGTCTTCCCACACCTGGGTCTGCATTGGCGAAGATGTTTCGATCAATCTACATATGTGCATATGCACATCGCTTTTGCATGTACGTGTACCAAAGTTGTGTCGCGAGATGCTTCTCTGCTGTCCGGTTAGTACACATGTCTGTGCGTGCATGTGTGCGTATACATATATAATTATACATGTATATATAGAGGTGCATAGACATACTATACATACATACTTGTGTATGTACATCTATACATACACCGTATGTGCGTGAGTATGTGTGCGTGCATGCATGGATGGATGGAGGGATGGATGGAAGGATGCATGGATGGCTGGCCGGCTGGGTTGGGGGGTGGGTGGGTCGCTGGCTGTGGTGTTTTTTGTATTTATGTATGTAAGTGTGTCGTACATACATGCATGCATAACATAACACTCATGCGCATGCTTACATATAGGTATGCGTACACGCATCGCCCATCCACGTGCATGCAACCATATGTTCATACGTACATCCTTACATACATACAGTACATCATGTTCTTACACGCACACATGAATACGTGCATACGTGAATACATGTGTTTGTACATGTGTGTTTGGACACACACACACATATATATATATACACACACATGGACATGTAGTATACACATGTGCATATGTACATGCATTCACACATCTGTTGTTGCATGCACACATAAATACGCGTAACATACATAATTTCGGTCATACTTTTGTACATACCTGCGTGCTTGCGTTCATGCATGCATCCATCCATACATACATACTGGGGTACATACATATGTGTGCATGTGTATAACATTATATATATATATATATACGCATACACATACAGTATAACTGTAAGATAGGTAGATCGATCCATACGCAGATAGATAGAGATGGACATTCAGACAGGCTCATAGACAGATGGAGAGACAGATGGATGGACAGATGGAACCAGGGACCTGCGCATGAAGAGATGTATAGATAAACGGATCGATCGGCAGATCGATGGACGGCAAATTAGTAGATCGATAGACCAATAGATCGGTAGATAGATGGTTAGGTAGATCGTTAGATCGAACTAGAAAGAGAGAAAGAGAGAGAGAGAGAGAGAGAGAGAGAGAGAGAGAGAGAGAGAGAGAGAGAGAGAGAGAGAGAGAGAGAGAGAGAGAGAGAGAGAGAGAGAGAGAGGGAGAGGGAGAGAGGGAGAGATAAAGAAAGAAGAAAGACAGACACAACAACTAATTACTAATTAAAGAGATAAAGAAAGCATGCACGAACGTACGGAAGAACCAAGGGAAGAGAGACAGATCCTAAAGCCTGCAGATCGGTGACTACAACCCTAGGGGCTGCAGTAAGTCTCGTAGTACCCCTGGTAGATGCCTTCTTGGAGGTTCATGGGTAGTTATAAGTGGGGTTACAAGCCCCGTAATATGGTTTATAAGTATAGTTACCCTACTTATAACCCTGCTTATGACTACCCCTGAACCTCCAAGTTTCATCCAGGCAGCAGCTTGTCGATTGCTCCGGAAGCTTCGGCAACGAGGGCTGCGACGGCGGCGAGCAACTTGAACCCCATTTTTTGCGGGCTAAGGGCCCAGGGTTCAAGGTTTCGTGTTTTATATGGCTTAGTGCACAGTGCACAGGGCTTGGGACCAGAGTTTAGAACATTGTGAGTCTTCGGGACTTTCCGTTTCAGAGCTTCACATTGTCACATGCTGCATAATTATGCTTTCGGGTTTATGTTTTTGTCATTCCAATGACATGCTGCTAGGATGGATGATGCCTTCGACTACGACGAGCAGACGGCTCTCTGCACCGAGCAGCACTCCGCATGAAATGGTGTCGGGGTTTAGGGTTTTGGGGTTTGGGGTTCGGGATCGATTGTCGGCTCCTGTACCTCAGGAAAAAGGCCGAGCTGCCCGTGGAACCAACCCGACACGGCTAAACCTTACATACTTAAGGGGGCTGAGTCCTGCTGATGCAGAACCTTGAGCCGTAAAACCTCAACCCGAAGCCTACAGACTTAAGACGCCAAAACCCGAGCCTGAGCTCTAAAAGCCTCAAACCTTTAAAGCCTGAGGCCTGAGCCCTAAGCCCGCGAAGGGGTGTAGGGGATGCAGAACCCAAAGCCTTGCATTGAAGCTGAGGAGCTATCCTTACATCGCTGAGGATGGTAACTGCAAGGTGTGACTCTGGATTGAGTTCTTTGGGTAAAGAGTAGGACTTCACGTTCGGCGCAGATAGATTTGTTTCCGGGGTTCAAGGATAGATTTGAGGGCTTTAGAGTTCAGTGCCGTTCAGTGTTTGTGTTTGGCTGAAGTGTTTCCGGTTCAGGGTTACAGATTTGAGGTTCGAGCGTCCAGGGATCAAGCCTCATAAGAATTTGGGATTGTCAGGGTCAGTGTTAGATTTGAGGTCCTTAGGTTTAGGGTTCGTGGCCCTAGGATTGGGCAGGTGTGCTATAGCTGAAGGTCATCTTCGTGGGCCTTGATGGAGTAGAATTAAATCTTTTTCGGTATTGGGGTTGAGAGAGTTTAGGACCCGCTTCACAACAGCATTTGGGAATTCCATGTGGTTCGACTGACCCAGCATGTCGGATTCCGAGGAACTTTCTTTGCGGCTAAAACCCTGAAACTTAAGCTACACACCCTTCAATCCCTGCACCAGACCCTGAGTCCCAAGAGCAGTGCACCCTAAACCCTAACCCGCGCCAAGAACCCTTAAACTGTAAATCCAAACACGGACAGCTCATACGAAGATAGCTTGGCCCCTAAACGCGGCTCTGCTAAGCCCGAAGCCCGAAGAAATCCATACATAGACAAGCCTAGTAAAGGAAAGCCTTCAGTTAGTTTCATTCAAAGGGGAAAAGGAGGGACCCTTAATGGGGACCCCTCATCTATAATGGGCTATATAGTGGGTATATAATGGCTATATTAAGGGGTTTTCTACCACCTAGGGGCCCTTTTTAAGGGTCCCTCCTTTTCCCCTTTGATTCATGGTCCCTGCCTGAACTATGGCACAATATGCTCCAAAGCCGCATTTGATGATTAAGTCCGCTTTTGCGACACAGCCCTCGCAACCCTAATAACTTATTCAACAAGACGTGCCCTGAACCCTAAACCCTCAGAAAGCAGAAGAAAGCCCTACTTGGAGGTTCAGGGGCAGTTATAAGTGGGGTTGTGAGTCCCCTAATATGGGTTGTAAGTATAGTTACCCTACTTAGAACCCTGTACTTATAATTACCCATGAACCTCCAAGTAAACGCCCTATCCCTTATAGAACCCTTTTTTGGATCCCTTCAAAAATGAACCCTATTCTAATTACTAACACTCTAAATCGCGTCGAAGCTCAGTGGGAGGCCTCCAGCTGCACAGTGGGAATTCCCGCCCACAGCGTGACCAACTATGTGGACCGAGCTTCTGGGGGTTTTGGGTTTCTAGGGGTTTAGGATTTATCGGGGTTTACGGTTTCTAGGGGTTTAGGATTTATAGGGGTTTAGGGTTTCTAGGGGTTTATAGGGGTTTAGGGGGTTTCTAGGGCTTTAGGATTTATAGCGGTTTAGGGTTTCTAGGGGTTTAGGATGAATAGGGGTTTAGGTTTTCTAGGGATTTAGGGTTTATAAGGGGTTTAGGGCTTACAGGGTTTATCTTTGAGTTTAGGGTTGATGGGGGTTTATTCTGGGGGTTTATCTTTGCGTTTAGGGTTGATGGGGGTTTATTCTGGGGGTTTATGTGTGAGTTTAGATGGGTTTAGGGCTTACAGGGTTCATAGGGTTTGTACGGTTTAGGGGTTTATCTTTGAGTTTAGGGTTTATGGGGGTGTAGGCTTAGGGCTTATCGGGTTAATAGGGTTTGTACGGTTTAGGGGTTTGGGGTCTATAGGGGTCTAGGGTCTATAGGGGTTTAGGGTTTATAGGGTTTATCAAGGTTTCACCTTGGGTTCAAGGTTGACAAGGCTTCTGGGGTTGTGTGTGCAAGGTGAAAGCTTTAAGGTCTCAGGGCTTGAATTTACTTACACCAAGCCTGCAACCCTACAACCCTTGATCCTGATCTTCTACAAGGCCTAAACCACCCCAAGGTCTTGTACCCCACCTCTGAATGTGGGGTTCAGTTATTCATGGCTGAAAAACGGCGCATTGGAGGATGTACCAGCCGACAATGAGGCGGCACTGATGGACGCTGTGGCGCAGCAGCCGGAAGCCTGTCTTCGAAATTCATGTTCGGCCTAGGGCCTAGGGCTTGAAAGACTTGGGTTTTGGGGGGACAGGGTGCGGCTTATGGGTTTGGGCTCCTCAACCCTGGAAAACTCTTAAAGCGAAACCCCTGAAATCCCTAAACCCTAAACCCCTGACCCCTAAACCCCAACCCTAAACCCAAACCCTAAGCCCTGAACCCTAAACCCTAACTGCACCCTAAACCCAAACCGTGAGCCCGGAACCCTAAACCCCTAGCCCCTATACCCTTATAGGAAGCCTTCACGGAACCCTTATAGATCCCTTTAGATTTTAGCTCCTAAACCCCGAACCCGCCCTCAGCCACATTAAACCCTACCATCTGCAACAAAGCTCCTACCAGTACATTATAGAAACCCTATTGTGTTATAGATCCCTTATAGAGCCCTTTAAAGGAACCCTCAACCCCAAAGTAGATCCCAAAACCCTTATAGATCCCTTTAAAGGAACCCTAAACCCTAAATAGTCTGCAGATGGAAAAAGGCCCTCAAAAAAAATAAACCCCAAAACACTTAATAGGATAGAACCCTTTAAAGAACCCATTTCAGCCCAAGGTCTCCGTTGCCATCGAGGCGGACAGGCGTGCCTTCCAGAACTACCAGAGTGGTGTGCTCAGCAAGATCTGCGGCACCAGGCGCTTTAGGGTTTACAGAGTTTAGGGTTTAGGCGCGTGGGAACTTCTTCTCATAACCCCAAGGCTCAAAATGGCCCCAAAGCCTTTCATAACATAGTCTTTATGGGCCGAAAAGCCTTAATTCGGAAGCCAGTGGGTATAGTCTCTTTACGGATCACTTTCTTTATTTTGTTCAGAGAAACCCCAAGAGAATAGTCAACATACCGTTTTTTATTATGGTTTAAGAGTTTTTTTTGTTTTTTTGCGAACCCTCTTCATACTATTTTTTGTGGTTTCCAGGGTATAGGTGGGTAGGAGTTTAGGGTTCAGCAGAGGTGGGGGCCGAAGAAGTGGATTCTCCTTCGTGGGATTTGCATGGGGTCCGCGTACACCCTCAGATATACTGTTAATGCGGTTTAAGGTGTTAGGGTTGTAGGGTTTAGGGTTTAGGGAATTGCAAGGCCGCCATCAACGGCAAAGGCTTTGGGACATGAAGCAAGCTTTGTACTTGTAGCCCCTAAGCCCATAACTTATTGGAATCTGACCCATTGATCATGAGGGGCATACAAGTTTTAAGAGATAAGCAATGTAGAGACCGACTCAAGTAGAAGCATCAAAACAACGCTGATCATCGGCAAACCGAAACCGTGCGACACGATCGAGCAAGACTCTACTTGCATCCCTGCAGGGGCATTGGAGTTCCAAGCACGCTCATGAGACCCGAATCGTGTTGCACGGTAGCAGGCTTGATCATGGAGTCCTGGTCGTGGGATATGGCAGTGAGGGCGGCATGGATTACTGGCTCGTTAAGCATCTTGGATTGCACTGGGTTAATTGGGTTCCACTGAGGAAGGTGCAATGTGTTGGGAAAAGTAGGGAAGAACAAAAGCCTGAATCAATTACAATATGATTCCTGAGGGTTCTTTACTGTACTCATATTCTACCCATAATCTCCACTGTAGTTCCTTTTTTGGTTTAACCATTATTATAGTTAGGATCCGATAGGTAACCCAAAAAAAGGAACTACAATGGAGAGTATACGTAATAGGCCCGAAGGCCCAAGGCCCTATTCTCATTAGTTACTTGGAGGTTCATGGGTAGTTACAAGTAGGGTCATAAGTAGCGTAACGATACTAACCACTAAACCCTTAAACCCTAAACCTATAGAACCTTTGATGGGAACCATTGTAACCCTACTTATAACGGCCCCTGAACCTCCAAGCAAGGTCCCGATATTACAATCAAGGCTTCAGGGTCCCAGTTCTTGGTCCTGGGGGTATAGTAGAAGCCCAAAAGATGGAAAGCCCCAGGCCTCAATCCTGAGGAGTAATGTATAGGGAATCCCAGCACGATTTGGCCTTCATCCGGTTTCCAACTTCACGGGGTTTGCTGTACGCGGTGTGGCAGTCGGGGAATTCGAGCAGAGACGTGGACTCCAGAGAGCCGCGAAATGTCGGGAACATAGACGCTTGTGTGCCTATAAAGATATGGCACACGCATACTTACAACATGGTGCGGTATATGCACCAAGATCCTTCTAGTCAGTTGAGTCCCGTACATTCTACAATTTTTTGTGAATGCATTCTGAGGCAGAAAGGAGCAATCAACACACAACACACTCACACACGCACCAACAAACACACTGATATGATAATGCAGGCTCTAAACCATGTTGCAAGTGGATCTCAAGCCCTGTTCGCAGCCCTGCGCCACGCAACCCAAGACCAAAGCCCCAATAAGCCATAAACCGTTACACCAAACCCTAAGCCCAAACTCCCCTAAACCCTGAACCCTCAAACTGACCCTAAACCCTCACTCTGAGCCCTAATCCCCACAAAGCTGGCCTCAGGAACAGCTGGGGCTCTTCCTGGGGTGAGGAAGGCTACGTGAAGCTGGAGCCCGATGAGGGTTCAGTGGTTTAGAGTTTAGGCTTTACGGTTCAGTGGTTAAGGGCTTGGGGTTCAGGGTTTAGGGTTTGGGGTTTAGGGTTCAGTGGCTTAGAGTTTAGGGTTTCGGGTTTGGGGTTCAGTGATTTAGAGTGTGAAGTTTTTCCAGTTTGGGGCTCCGGGGCTTTAGGGCTTCGGATTCAAAGCTTGAGGGCGCAGGATTTAGGGTGGGGCTTTAGGCCTTCTAGGCAGAGCGGGGATGTAAGGCACGGGCCTAGGGCCTAGGATAGGACGCAAGATGCTTCCTAAAGGCTCCCCTAAGTTCGAGGTTTGAGTTGTTAGCACATTTATACTTGGAGGATCATGAGACTTAGTAAGTACGGTTATAAGTACCTTAATTGGGGTTATAAGTAGTTATAAGTATAGCTACCCTACTTATAACCCTGGTAACTAAGTCCCATGATCCTTTAAGTAGGATTCAGAACCTTAAGGTTTCACGGTTTTCTTGGCCTTTGGTCGAGGAGTCGAAGAGTGGTGAGAGATCCGATTAGACGCGCGTCTGCGGAGTTGCGTTTGTGGCTTGTGGGTGGCTTCCATCGTGTTCGGAGTGCACGGATGAAAGTTCAAAGTTCCGGTACGGCGCTGGGCCGTGAAAATCCGAAGATTGTAGGGGACCGGGTCCTTCTGCTCCTACGCTCTTATGTCTTTGTCTCAGCCCACCTGAAGTCGTAGAACCTTCATGCTGCTTGTCGTCGGGGTGTCGGAGGAGCGTGGGAGCTCACAGAGAAAAGCCCTCAAAGAAACCCTACACCCTAAACCCCAACAGCCAGCCAGCAAGCAGCAAAACGCTCTCAACCCCTAGTCCTCAAGCCCCAACACGATCCTAAGAGCCTATCCTAGTAGTAGAGTACTGTAGGTAACATTTAACTTTTCTTGGGTAGTATAGTGCCTATATAATCCCTGCAACCTTTAGTTCCCCATGATACCCGACAAGTTAAACGTGGCCAAGAGTCAGGAGCGTGGAAAGCCCGGCGCTGGCGAGTGCGGCATCAAGTCTGAGGCTGGGTTCTTGGACTTCTAGGTCCCTGAGTGGTAATATAGGGGCCTAGATTATTATCTATACAATTTTGGGGGTTCCTTCTTATAAGTATAGTATATTGGGCCCGAAGCCCTATTCCAATTCTTAAGGCCCCTGAAATACACGTTTGCTCTTTTTGTTTTGGATTCTCCTTCTTGAACAGAACAGTAGGAACAAGGGTACCCTTTGTTATATACGGGCTACTCAGGAACCTAATCGACTTGGATGTGAAAAGTCAGACCGATGGTTAGTTTTCAACAAGCGCATGTTTCTTTGGCGTCCTCTGGGCTTAGCAGCCAGTGGATCAGGTTTCAGAACCTGCCTGGAGGTTCATGGGCTGCCATGAGTAGGGTTGTAAGTAGGGTAACTATACTTCTAACCCATATCAGGCGACTTATGACCCATAGGGGACCTGTAACCCCACTTACTGATAACTGCCTCCGAACCTCCAAGCGTTGTTGAGTTCACAGCTTATCATGAGCGGCCTCGAGGGCCCCCTGTGGGTTCTGAAGATAAGCATACGTAGCACCCCGAAGCAACCCAAGTATCACTGTTAGGAAAGGCCCAAAACGAGGGAACAACAGGCGAGCAGCGGTTTAAGGTAGCCAAAAGCACCGAAATTCTGCCACCCTTAAAATCCTCAAGCCATCGACTTGTGTACATGTTTTCAATGTGTTATGCAACCCAGCACGAAATCTCCAGGCACGAACCCTCAAATACCAAAAACATCGTGCTTAATCATTAGTCATTTTATGATTCACTACCAATGACAAGCGACAAAACCCCAACTCTCATCCTGTGTGAGTGAACAGATTTGAAGGCTTCCTATCCGGTCGTGTCTGGCTCGCCCTCGCCATCTCCGCCACCATCTCCACCGAGCCTTGGCGCAGGGCCTTTCAGGTTTGGGATTTGGGGCTGTATTTTTGTTTGGGGGAGTCGGAGTTTGCGTGTCCCTTTAATCACGGTTATACAGCACGAGGATCTAGGATTTGGGGTTACGGTGCAGCAGGACTAGTAGCTGCAAGAATAAGCACGAAACAGCCAACGATTACATGCATACTGTTGGGGTTTGAAGCTGCCAGTAGTGATGATGAAGTCGATGAAGGAAAAATGATAGTAGTAACCGGAAAACTACCTGTAGCAATAATCAACAGAGTTGTCATGGAGACACGGACATTACCACGTAGTTCACACCGCTGGTGATGATGTTGAGAGTTGAGGGTGCAGTCTATCAACAACGTATGGTATTGGTGATAACGAAAGTGACGAGCTGATAATTTTCATCGCCACGGCTACAAGACAACACAGAACAACATGTAAAAAGCCTTGTTGTTCGTCGGAAAGGTATCGAATAGTCAAGCCAACACTTGCTGAAGTGTGCACATTGCCCGGAACCCTCAACACAAATCCCTGTTACCCCCAACCACTCTAACCCTAAAGTCTACACTACACCCTTAAGCCTATATGCCCTAAGCTCATAAGTTGCGTATTAACTGACAGTCCTAAGCAGTACGCTCGGTAGGCCTCTGGGATAATTTGTATTGGCCCTTATTGGGCTTAGTTGTGCCCCATTATTTACCAATTTTGTTTGAGGCTTTAAAGGGCCAACCTCGTACGTGTACCTTAAGCTACCAAAACCTGCTTTTTTGTAGGGCCCCTACAAATTCCATATTAAGGTTAAGGTGTACATTAAGAACCTACAAAAAAGTTGGGTTTGGTAGGTTAAGGTATTGCCCAGGACACCATCAGCTGGACACTACGGCCGCCCTCCTTGTCGCAGCGACGAGTCGCCTTTTGAGGTCCTCGAGTAGGAGATAAGGAAGCCAAACATGGAACTTCGGAAGGATCATGGGACTTAGTAGGGTTCCTTAAAGGGCTCCTTTAAGGGATCCTTTAGGGTTTAGGGATCTATAAGGGCAAGTAGATCCCCTGATTTGGGACCCTATACTACTAAGGGTACTTTTTGGAACCCATTAAGGGATCTACTTTTTGGATCCTCCCGGGGTCTCAGAACATGGTATACGGTTGTTCAGTACGCGCGGGCATTGCTTGTAACATTTAAGAGTCTGAGTGAGGCGGAGTCGATGTTCTCAGGATGTTGCAATGAGCTGATTTTCAACATGTGAGTGCACACCTTGCCATACCGCGACAGGTGGTCGGCAAGGGCACCATTTGCACACCAAACTGCGAGAACGGCTGTCCGTCCGATGTGCCGACAGGTACCACGGCGCCGCCCAGCTGCAAGCTGTGGAATGTGGAGGGGGATCTTAATAATGGGGTCCTCTTACCCCCAAGCCCTCTTGAGGGCCGGGCCCTTATACGCAGGACCTTCGGAATCAAATTCGATGCTATAATTTCTTAGTGTTGTTCTATCTGGGCCTCGAGGATTGCGTGGGTGATTGCAGCGGAGACCCCATACCTGGTGGAATCATTAACGCAGCTGCATCATAATACCTCGTGCCTACATCTATGAAGCCATGCAGTACGCTTGACAATAGCCCTATAAACCCTATCTTGACCCAAACTGCAAACCCTTTCAACATACCCGATGCGCACCCGATACTGTAAGGGTTTGTAGACTTAGAAAAAGCAATAAAAGCCCACACCCTACAGGCACCCTCAACTCTAAACCCTATGGCCTTGAACCCTAAACCCCTAAAGCCTAAAAGCCTTAAACCCTATGATACCCTTACAGTAACCCCTATGGACCCCTTAAAGACCCTAACCCTAGAGGCGTCCCAGCTGCATGGACGGTGACTACTGCGCTCTGCGCTGCATGGTGGGCGGCTGCCCTCCTGGCGCCCGATGCATCCACAACGCTGGCTTGCGACTCGCCAGGGATATTTGCATTTGCGGGCTTTAGGGTTTAGGGTTCTACAGGGTTCCATAGGGTTCTATGGGGTTTCGTAGGGTTTCTGTGGTTGAGGGCTTTAGGTTTTAGGGTTCTATGGGGTTTCATAGGGTTTGTGCTTGATGGCTTTACGGTTAGTTTAGGGTCCCATCGGAGTTAAGCTCAAGACACTCGGCCTGTAAGAAAATGCGATAAGACTTTGTCTTTCGGTTCTGTAGGAGTCCCGAGGGGTTGTAACTTTCGATTAAGCAGGCGCTACAACTCATGGATCTCGGAGGATTGACTAAGCTTAGTAGCTGAGTATACACTTTACACTTTTTGGGATAATATTACCCACTATAACACTGAAGTGTACACTTTTTGGGGCTTATGGACTCAGCAACTAAGTAAGGGTGTAAGGGTTAGTGTGTCCTGCTTGTTTAAACAGGGCTCTTCATTTAGGCTCCCGGCGGGCTTTGTAGAGTAAGATGCAAGCTTTGACGCGCTGTGTTTCGGATTCTTCGCGGCTTAGAGCGGAAAGAGTTGAGTAACGTAGGGGCCTTAATGATTGGAATATGGTTTTGGAGGTTCCTTATTATAGTTATAGTATACTCTATCCCCCAAACCCTATTCTAATTATATCTACCTATGAAGGCCTCCTCATTATGGAACTCTACTATAGATCCCTTATAGAACCCTTCAAAGGAACCCTATTCTAACTATTAAGGCTCCTGCAGTATGCAGGGAGTTTGCGGTTGAAGAGGTTTGGGTTGCAGGCTACGGAGCTGTTGGTTTGGGGGCATTCACGGTTCATGAGGTTTAGGGTTTCCGGGGTTTAGGGTCTTGGGTTTATGGGGGTTTCGGGTTTATGGTTTATGGGGTTTAGGGTCTATGGGGTTTAGGGTTTAATGGGTTTAGGGTTTAGGGTTTATGGGGTTTAGGGTGTTTAGGGTGAATGAAGTTTAGGGTGTGGGGCTTATGGGGATTATGGTTTAGGGTTTGGGGCCTTGTCTTGCGGCCTCGTCTCAGGCCGGGATTTGTGCTGTTCCAGTAGTAAAGATTTGCTGATCTCGGTTTCCACGTGGCTTTATGCGGAATCGCCGAGTATTAGAGGGCTCTGGGGGTTTAGGGCTGTTGTAGGGATTTCAAACTCTCGTGTATGAAGCCGAACAGTCTAACACTTGCGACAGACCGTCCGGACTGCGATCATAAGGGCCTCAGGCCCAAGCCGCATAGCCACCCCAAAGTCCAATCCTCGAACCTCCTCCCCTAAACCCTAAAGCCTAAACCCTATATACCCTAAATTCTAAACCCTAAACCTTAAATTCTAAACCCTAAATTTCTAAACCCTAAACCTTAAATTCTTAACCCTAAATTTCTAAACCCTAAACCTTAAATTCTAAACCCTAAATTTCTAAACCCTAAACCCTAAATTCTAAACCCTACACCCTAAGGATCCTCAACCTGGCCCGATTTGGGAGTTTGGGTTCAGCTTCGGCTTCTACGTCACACATCGCCTTAAGGCTCATTGTTAGACGAGAGTGTCACATGCGCCCAATATAGAATAGGGCTCCTTGAAAGGGGCTGCTATAAGGGATCTATAGTAGGGGTCTATAAGGGGGGTCTATGATCCAGGGGCCTTAAGAATGAGAGTAGGGTTTTGGGGTATATTATACTATCATGATAATAAGGAACCCCCAAATAGCATCCTAGTTTACTTTGGATACGGCCCTCACTCAGTAATAGTTGAATAACATTCATAGTATAGATGTATTCGGACCCTTAATAGTAGCCCTCTTATAGACTCTTACTGTATGGGGGCAGTACCTAAAGTCTACTCAACAAGGTCCCTACATTACCGAACACGACTCCTTCAGCCCCAAATCCTGCCTTCTGGGCCGAGGCTGGGCATGTGCATTTACCCAGACCAGGAGGTGGTGGTCTAAGCACCAGTATGCCCTGGTACCTAAGGGTCCATGTGCCTACATAGCGTTTTATGTCGGATTGAAGATACTCTACACCCAAAATCCCAAAGCCCCAACACCTACATAGGCGCTTTAATGGAGCTACTGTGTATACTACTCAATACAAAACTCTAATCTCCGATATGCTAGGTAGCAGTTTTTTTACTTAGTTAGGCACATGGACCCTTGGGGGTGGTAGCATCCGAGACTACAGCGGCCAATTGGGCCTGCCCTTTATCTCGGAAGAAACGGCGCATGTTATGAATGGGTTTTAGGGTGTTGGGATTTAGGATTCGGGGTGCAGGGTTTTGGATTTAGCAATTTAGGGCTTAGCTTTTTCAGTTTAGGGTACTGCTTGCAGGGTGTGCGGACTTGGGATGCCTTGGTTTGATCTAACCTCTTGCAGACCCTAACATATCCCCTTAAACCACTTGCTTTGTGGAGCACCGATCGGTTTCGAAATTCTTAGATATTCGGAGCGCCACCCTGGAAACATACATAGATACAGGGTTGGCTTTATTGGAGGGGCCACGCCGCCATCCGCGGGCTGGCTACTGTGTTCGGGGGTTTCCTTGCAAACGGCTCAATCGAACCGTCAGATTCCTGAATCCCTGAGACGAGACCCTAATGCCCAAAGCCTATATACCCTACGCCCTAAACCCTCCTGAACCTGCAAACCCCCCAAGCTCTCAACACTAAGCCTTGAACCCCAATTAACCCTGAGCCGTAAATCCCGTTAGACATGAGCCTGCAAGGCTTGAAGCCCCCCGTGTTTTCAAGAAGTGTGGTGTGCCGAAGCCGTTCGCTGTAATGCAGGGGTCTGACTAAGTAGTGAGTACTACTATGCCCGAATGTTCCCCCCATATAAGCATGTCATACATGCACCTCCAAAACCCGGTTGGAATTATGAAGGCTCCGACATTGCGCTTGGGCACACTTGCGGTTTGGCGTGACCCAGACGCCTAGAAACTCCGTGATTGTGCAGCTGTCCTTAGTAACATAGGAGCCTGGCCAATATCATTCTTAAAGTGTTTCTTCTGTTTATCGTATTTCTCGTGTAAGATACACCAAAATCTTATTAGAAGCATCAAGGCAATTCTTGCATCGATTTCGTACGAGAGGCACCAGGAGCAATAGTTGAAATAACCATATCGAATCAGGTGACTAGCGTTCAGAGAACGTGGCAATGGTGGACGGCAGCACGTACCAGTAGGGATGGTAAACGTCGCATTCTGAGCGGGCCCTTTGTGTACCAACATCAACAACAATTAATATAATATAGCAGTTGGACCCTTTACCGAATAGCTGTTATAGCCCAGCTGTTGATCTGGACGTTGCAGAGCAAGTCTTCTCACAATGAAAGCCCTGGCATACACCCACATATGCGCGCACGTCTCCGCAGCCCCTATAGATGTGAAGTATGTGCACACATGTAGATGTAGATGGAGAGGATGTGAGCAGCGTGCAGAATATGCAGATTCCGGACACTCAATGTAGACACATGCCTGTTATCGCGTGCACCTGACAGGCTGTGAGCCAGCTCCCTGCAGCATCCAGCACCCCACTTGACGTCACTAGAAAATTTGTAGTTGCTGCACATCGGAACAAGGCCATGGAAAACGCATTACAGTGCTTGTTGCATGCTTGCCAGCTCATGCACGACTTGGTAAAGTTTCCCAAACCCGTAAGCTCACAACGCAAGATGTATTCGTCGATGTTGAAAACCCTACAGAACCTCGGTGTTTTGTTTTCAAAACTTTCCAAGTGGATTGGATTTCATACTTGAACCCCAACTTCTCCCATTCTACATCCCACGCCGTAGAGTTTGGCACATGAGGCGTCCAAACTAATGCCAGCAGACCACGCTTCACAGCTGGTGGCGTGCTGCGACATTTTTGCATCCTGCACAAGGAAAACAGTGTGAGATCCTGCTTTCGCTGCTTTGATGTCAGATATGCATCCCAGGTGTGTGTAGAGCATATTAAGGTGTCGAGACAGACGAGTACCGGGCGGATGATAGTCGCAATGACGTTCAAGAACATAATGTGAAGACTCGCCCTTACATGTAAGTCGTAAGAAGACTAAGCCCGCAAGTACGGATTCGATGACCAGTTTCATTGTTGTTTCGTCGCGGTCGCAATAAATAGCAAGAACTCGCGATGCTGTTGCTTGTACAAGTTGCTTGACTTTTGCCGAGCGGGCTCGTGAATTTGACAAGTCGGCTGGATGTCCCTTGGCACGTCCGTTTTGTGTGGCATGCGCAGTGATTTTGTTCCATCACATCACGCTGTGGTCGAAAATTTGAACCTTTAACAATCAATCTCAAGTTGTAAAGTCTGGGTTACAGGACACACACTGGTAGGCTTAGCCTCAGATTGCACGTGCTGTGCGTTCTCATATGTGTGTGCGGTTCCTTGTCGAACATGTTCATGCGAATCCACAACTAGGACTGCAAACTTTCAATTCGTGTTACATCGGTCCGTGTCAGATACTTAGAACAAGAAGACTAAGCGACACATATGCAGCTTGACTTGGAGTACGTAGGGGTTTGGTGAGTGCACATAGGACTCCTTCCAAGTTTCTGTTGTAGGGGTGATCGCATTCCAAGCAATTTTGTAGCACACATTGCAGACAAAAAGTTTGATTTATGGCAGCCATGCCGCTATCAGGTCCGGACAGCACAGTCAGTCCAGAGCCACACCCAACAAACTTCGACTTTCGAGACCATCGCAAAAACGGTGGATAGCCGGCTTCGTTGTCAGCCAGCATGGTGTAGCAACATGGCAGACGACATCTAATTAAACCAGAAACTAATATCAAGCATTTGATGTTTCGTAGCAGTTCAGGCTGATTTAACTCACGCATATCCCAGCTCATCTATCTGTTAAGGTTGGGGCCAACGACTTTGGCTGCGATGTAGCAGGGATGCTTCCGAAGGCCTTTGTTGTTGAGTTTTCAAGGTTCGGGGTCAGGTTGGCTCAGGGCATGTGGGAGGTTGTTAACATCGGGCGTGCCTGAAGTAGGCATCCCAGTGTGAGGGGCCCTCTATGTTTGGACTTGAGATTTGGGAGTTGCCGAAAGCAAGGGTACAGTACCTGATTTTGGGGTCCAAGTAACCAGGATCCTTTTATTTAGGGTAATTGCTGTACTAGGGTCTCCTCTTTTGAGAAACTCCCATTTCTGGCCCGGACCAGGGCTCGTTGCCGTAAATTTTATAAACCTTGAACCCTAAACTCTGCCGTATTATAGTGGCCTAAATAGTTAGAATAGGGTTTGGGGCTATATTAAGCTTTTTTTATCTGGTATATATTTAGGCCCCTACCGTATGGATCTTTGTTGGAGATCGTGGGCTGGGGGATGTTTGTTTTGAGGGGCTTACCCTTGCCTTATATAGTAGGGTCTTTGGGCCCAAAAGCCTTAATGTATGAGTCCCTAGATCCCCAGGGTTAGATCCCTGATGAATAAAACCCCCGAATATGGAAGCCTGAACTAGTATGATCATACCATGATTGTCGCCGAAACTCTATTGTGATCCCGCTTCAGGGGCGGGTTTTCATGACGGGGCATCTACATTGGTGCGTGATGTTTCCAGTTCAAGTGTTTGTAGCCCGAGCTGCGACTGGCCATCATGTATGTATATATACACTTATATATATATATATATATATATATATATATGGGAGTTTCCGAGAATTGGGGGTGCCTTATTTTGGGGTCAGTATAGTAAGGATCCAACTATTTTATGTACTACACTAGGGTCCCCTAATTTTCGGAAACTCCCATATATATATATACATATATATATATATATATATGTATATATATATATGCTTTTATTCGGGTTATTGGCTATATACTTGTAAATCGCATGCAATGGCCTTCTATGTAATTCCTGAGGCCCCTTTGTCATGTTCAGATTGAGGGTTTCAGAGTTCGTCACCAACAGGGTTCATATACACTACTATTGTGGAATCAATGAGGCCCCAAAAACCATAAAGGATTGTCTTTTGGGACCTAATTCCATAATGGTAGCATATATGGAATGTCTGGCTCATATAATTAAAAGGTCGATGGTCAAGTTCCTACACCCCCTACACCCCCAAACCCTTGATCTTTTTCAATCCCCAAACCCCAAAGTCGCGAACTCCTCAGGTCGCACATCCTTGACTGCCCCCAAAACTCAAAAGCAGCTTTGTGTGTTATGGAGATGGATGACACATACTTCGCTTAGGGTTTAGGGGGGGTGTTGTGGGTTTACGGTTTAGTCCCCCCAATATGGGTCAGGCGTGTGAAACAAGGTCGTTGTTATCGCCCCTCCCCCCCTCCCCCCCTCAAATTCACAAATTCGGGCTTCGCTGCGTGTGCGGAAGGCCGCGGAAGGGTCCGCGATAGTGGTGGCAGGGCCGCTTTGGAAGAAATAATGACGGACAACCGATGTGGATTGGGCTTGTGGGCCTGAGGGCTCAGATTACCTGCTGCAGCCATTCGACATCATTTGACGATTTGTGCTGAGATAGTGTCACAAGATGGTGTGCGTGCGCCTGTTGTTGATTGCCTTGTTGTTCCTTCGTGCTTTGCATGCCGCCGACAACGGCGATGACGAGGAGCAACAATAACAGATTTGTTCAAGCGCTCGGCCCTCAGCACGATTTCTCCGGGTGTTGCGATTGCGAGGGTTGAGGTGAAATCTGCGGTGGCCAAGGGTATGTTCCGACGACTCGTCCTTTACGCAGTCTTTGCCGCTTGGCTGGGCCTTGCCCAGCGAGTGGAGAAGGTAAGTCCTTTCGTCTTGGGGCGCGAGTTTGAATAAATTTGTTGTTGTGCAGGAACTCCGGAGCTTATCGAACATGATGAAAGTGACGTTTGACTACCCTTCTTTTGGCGAAGATCTAGTTGCCAAGCCTGTTTTTCCAGGAGTATCACCGATCGCAGGACCGCATCGGTGGAGGAAGAGGAGGAGGATCGGGCTCCGGAGATGGAAA